GTTACATATTTTGTTTTTAATGTTATGTAACATTAGTTATTGTTCATAAATGTAATTGACTGCTTTTAATTAGTAGCAACTTAAGAGTTTTCTCTTAATACAATTTCTCAAATTATCTCCAGGATTTGAACAGGGGGCATTGGTTGTAATAATCTTAAATTTTGGTTGATGTTTCCCCAACCCCAACGCCATTACTTAATTGTGCAAAATAGTTATGTGCTTTAGTTAGTTGATTTTGCTATATTCTAGGAAGTGGAAGCATTGATATGCCTGCTGACATGCACTAAAGTCATCTGTAGTATAACTTTATTGAACTCAGTGGCATTCCATTAGGGATGCATCTGGCTTATAGAATTGTGGGTGTCCATTTTGAACCTGACAGTCCAGTGTTTGAGCTTTCTGTTTGGGAAACAAATTGAGAAAATATAAATGAGAAAATATAAATGTCCAGTATTTTCTAAATAAGATGTAATGAAGATTATGATGTAACGTCAGGTGTGTCCAGTATTTTTGTTGAAACCATCTGGCAACTCTACTTTATGTTTGCCATGCCCTGTTTCATGTAGAAGCATATGTGCATTGTTCAAAAGTACAGGTTGCACCTCCCAGAACTGGAGTTCTCTGGTCCAGCAATTAGGGCTGCCAGATGGCCCTCTTTAAGTATATGAAGAGTCAGAATAGGGATAGGAAGAGGAGAGGTTGAGCACTAAGACCCAGGGAAGACATTGCTTCCCCTTGCTGCATGTCTTTAGACTTTTTGCTGGTGACCTCATTGTTTTCTTGATCGAGTCAGAAGGCAGCTTCCCTGTGGAACCAGCTAAGCGGGGAGTTCGGGAGGGGAGTGGGGCTGGGCCCAGTTGCTGAGTGTGTCGTAGGGTTGCCAGGTGTCCAGGATTTTCGCCTCCTGGCAGGGAAAAAAAACAGAAAATACCAGACATTTTAGGAATCCGATATTCTTTGATTTTTTTTTTTACCGGACAGGAGGCGAAAATACCGGACTGTCTGGGTCAATACCAGACACCTGGCAACCCTACCAGCAATCTGGAGAATGGGTTCCTGGATCAGAGAACCCTGGTATCCCAGTAGTAGGAGGGCAATCCAGGAGGGGCTGGATTGAAACAGAGGGATGGGACAGGAGCTGGTGGCAGCCCCTGATAGCCTGTGGCACTGGGATCTAGTCGGGGCAACCCCCATCAATGCAGGATCGGGCCAGCAACAGCCAGTGGAAGCGGGACCAAGACCAGAGCTGGCAGAAGCCCCCAGCAGCATGTGGCTGGAGCCCCAGACAGCCCGCAGAAGTGAGGCCAGATCCTGTGGGCTTCTACGTGACAGGAGTCCACACCCTTGACAGCCCGAGGCAGAGCGACTGAGACCAGGTCCAGGGCTGGAAAATGCCCCATGCTGATGTGGGCTGCTGGGGCTGAGCCTGTAGGCTGCCATGGGGCTGGGACCAAAGGACCAAAGCCCAAGACCCTGGCAGCCCTACCTAAGCCAAAGCCAGCCCCCATCAGTCTGTGGTAGCACGAGGCTGGAGCACTTGGCAGCATGGGCTGCTGGAGCCCGGCAGGCAGTCCTGCTGGGGCAGCAGCAGCAGGGTCAGTGACCCAGCAGGCAGCCTGGCAGCAGCTTGAGGGAATCCCGCTTCCTCTTCCCTCTTCCTCTCCCCTCCCCAACTGGCAACAGCAGCTTGAGGGAATCCCTCTTCCTCTTCCCTCTTCCTCTCCCCTCCCCAACTGGCAGAGCTGGCGGCTGGAGGCTGTGGCAGGGGGGCATCTCTAGTCTGTCAAATTCTCTGGTTCGGGACCGGTCAGGTCCTGAGGCTGCTGGATAAGAGATGTTCCACCTATAGCAAATCTGCAATGTGAGTAT